GGGGGACCTCAGTCAGAAGCCAAGAAATAGAAAGGAATCTGGTCCCAGGCAGCAGCCTCAGCCTGGCCCACTGGCCCCAGATGTTCTCCGAAACTAAAGGGGTTCAGATGGTGTGTATCTCTGAGGGGCCTCCCTGCTTCACCCCTCCAGAGCCTGGCCTGGTGCTGGAGTTGGGCCCACCTGGGGCCTGGAAGGTTCGGAGGCCCGGGACTGCAGGTCGTCCAGGGGAGGAGATACCGTCAGGCCACCTGGGGCAGAGTGCCAGAGAGGGCGGCAGGACCTTGACTGCCTCCCCAGAGGCAAAGGGCAACCACCCGCGTGACCCCCTCTGAAGTGCAAAACAAGTCGGCCATCTTCCCGGGCAGCTTAACCCTCTCCTGGACAGCGGAGGGCAAGTATGGGGTCTGGAGGCTGAAATGCCATGGGAATGGGGAGGAATTTCTAAGCACTTCAAGAAAACCTTGGACCCTGGCAACTTCCCCCCGGGTGTTTGGAAATCCCATTCCATTAGCCATTAGGAGCCTGAGCTTTTTCTAAGTGAATTGGATTTGTTCCAGTCATCTTCTTACTTAGAATTGCCCCATATTCAAGGAGCATAAAGCCAGAGGCAGTAAACGTTGCCCCTGCTTGTCATCAGGTGTTTGTCAGCAGCTGAGAGTCAGGCCAGTGGCGCACTCGTCCAAGTGTAGTATCTTGTTGCTCACGGCCTAAACTGCAACTCCTCCACAGGTCATGCCCGGCTCCAGGCCAGCGCACAAGGACTGGCAGCCTGCAGCAGAATCGTAGTGGCTGACTCAACTTCCAGTCCCTCCCAACAGGAGGACTTTAGCTTCCACTCTGGATGCCGTTAGAGGGGCTTACGCTGTAAGCCCCGTAGGCCACGCTGTCCCCGTGTCTTACATCTGACCTTGTTCCCACATTGATAGTGCCTCTCTGTCATGTGGGTACATTTGGGTTTCTAGAATATTCTTTCTTAATATTGTCAACCCTTCAAAGTCCAGCTCAAATATCAGCTCCCCCCGAAGTTTTCCTCAATTTCCTTCCCTTCATTTTCAGCAGAATGTGTCTCTTCGTTTTCCCACCTGTAGTACCAGGAGCCCCTGTTGGAAGACATTCCAATTTTCCTTGCTGCCCTGAGGGCACCATGAGTTTAGGGACCCCCGATTGGTCTTTGTGGGCCTCACACACAGTGGGTTATTTAGAAAAGGGCTGTTGCAAGAGGCTCGTGAAATTATTGAATGGGTTTTGGTGCTCGGAAGGAAGTCCCCACATGTTTTGAACCCTGGGCAAAGGAACACGGAATGGTGTTTTCTTAAGCCCTGTAATGAAATCCTTTTGTGTTTAATTGCTTTAAGTTATTTTTAGTGTAAATATCAAGGTGCCATAGAAACAAAAACCATGGGTGCTAGCTCAACCAAGGGGACAAACCACCCGGTCTTCCATTGCTTACTTCCTCTGTGCAGCCTTGGGTTGGAATCTGTGACATGGGATGGTGGTCAGCACATCAGGCCCCCAAAACCAGCCAAGGAAGGTCTAAACTGGGTTCAAGGTCTTGATTTGAGGCTGAGACATTGCGAGGAGGCAGAAAAGCCAGTGCCTTGAGAGGCTTGGAGAGAAGGCTGAAGCTCAAGGAAGAATCCTTTTTTCCATTTAGAGTAAGCCAAAAGCGCCCTACGGAGGTCTCCAGAAAACCCCTTTCATGCCTCACCCACAGATGATTTGCTGAACGCTCATTAAGGGGAAAACAAAGAGGTGGTTTTGTTTATTTATTTAAGAGGAAAAATAAATGAGCTGTGACAAAACAATTTGAAACCAGGCCCCTCCGAGACCTGGGCTTTCACTTCCTTGATGGGAAGTAAAACAGAGAATCGAATCCCCCTCCAAATAAAAGTGAAGTTAATAATCAGACAGCTCGAGCCCTGGCCACATCCTGTGTCAGCTCCCTCCCTCCCTGGGCTCCCTGTTTATAGCAGCAGAGCCCTCCTCCAGAGCCCAGAGTGGGCTTAACTCTTTCCTCCCCTTCTCAGCCAAGCCCAGCCCTGCTCTGAGGCCACAGGCTCCTCACATCCTCTGTGCAGGCCTGTCCTGCACGGGGCGGCCAGTCTGCCTCTCAGCCTCTGGCCCTTGCCATGTGTTTAATGAACCCAGCTGAGATTTGAGTGATGTCTTCAGCTTGTCCTGCACAAAACTCAAAGTGAGCACAGGAGGGCTGCGCCCAGTATCGGTTTCCCTCGCCATCCCTCCAGGAAAACAGTGGGAAACCCTTACGGCTCCAGGCTTAGGAGGGCTCTGCTTCATGCAGCCTCCATAGCCTGGTGGTTTCCCTGAGCTGCTGCATTTTGATGGAAAGAAGCACAAATTTGGAGTGGGAGGGGGGCTCTTGGCCTGTGTGGAGAGGAGTGTCCTACGCATGTCTATGAGCCACTTTCTATAAAAACTTCACAGTGCTTTTGGTGCAGTTATTTTTCCCAGGACCTGTGGGGTCATTAGTAGCACATCCCCACTGAGTTGAGGAAGGGGCCTGATATTTATCGAGGGCTTTCTACTTGCCAGCCACTGTTGTAAGCAAACAGCTCTGCCCTGTAGAGCCACTGTCCTCCTCATTGTATGGAGGAGGAAACTGAGGCACAGAGGGGTAAGTACCTTGCCCATTGTTATAGGGCTGGTAAACAGCAAAGCTGGGTTTTGAACCCAGGCATGGTGACTCCAAAGCCTGTGCCCTTCGCTCCTGTACTCAGAGGGCTCTGGTGTCTGGAGCCAGGGGGCTTTTAGGAGTTTGGAAGGACCCCACGAATGTGTTGAGAACATTGGCACTTTGTCTTGGGCATGCCTCCCTCCCTCCTGTTCTTCCGTTCTTCCTAGGGAAGAAGGTACAGAGACTCTGCAGAGGGTCGGTGGCTAGCGGTGGCAAGGGGAGGCTGGGCGTGGAGCAGGTTGGGATAGAACAGATCCCGTTTGCCACCTGAAGTCACAAACACCCACTTCTGGCTGAAACTTGTCTCATAGGAAACCACTACCCAGTTGCCTTGGGGCAAGTGGCAAAGACTTAAAAAGTGGCTGCGTGGGACACCTGCCTGTCCTGGGATTCCTCCCTCTGCCTGCCATGGCTACTTAGATTTGTTCTTGGAAATGTGTCTGTGGCCAGGTCACCTTGCCTAGCCATTTGGCAGGTCCCTGTGACAGGGGAGGGTATGTGGTGCTGCCCCCTGTTGTCTGGGAGCCTTCATGACCCAGGCTCGGCTGGGGAAGGCTCCAGAAGGTCCCTGTTCTGAAGGGCGCTTCTAAGAACAGGGCCTGCTCTTGGTCTGTGTACTCGAACACCCTGGGTCCGTCTTTGGGGATAAGGTGATCTGCTGAAGGCCTGCGTTCTCGAAAGGCACTCAAACCCTTCAGAGCCACAGGGCACCCTCGCACTCATTTTCTAATTCACTCCTCAGCCAGAGAAAGCCGCGGGCACTCCATCCCCACTGGCCTGTTCTGCCCCAGAGCGGGGGTGGCTCCTCTGGCAAGGGAGGAAGACAGCAGTGATTTCTCTGTGACACCTAAAGGGGCTGACATCCAGTAAGATGCCTGGATCAAAGAGGGCTCAGAGTACGTGTGCCTTGACTTTTAATTCAGATAAGTGCAGCATCTTCAATTCAGACAGAGCACCCGAGGTGGGAGGGCTCCACTGTGTTCTTCGGAGGCTAAAGACCAACATTTGCCCAAACCCCTCAAATCAGACCCACCCTTTTTCAGTGCTGACTAGTACTAGGGTGCCTTGTGCACATTTATCTCATTTACCATCACCCTAGAAAATGGGGGCTGGGTGATTACCCCCTATTTTCCAGCTGAGGAAAGTGAATTTCGAAAGGTTGAGTAGCTTGCCCACTCTGCTGTGGTAGAAAACAGTTCATTGTGGTTTAAAATACATTGAAGCCAATTTAAAAATCATTTTCACTCAGTTCAAAAGCAGTACAAAGTGGACACCAGGCCCTTTGAGGGTTTCTCCCAGCCTGAGAGGCCCCGAGGGGCAGGGGGTTTGAGGTGCTGGGGTGCTGGTCTGCCTGCCGGCCCTCCAGCCCTCCCAGCTCCTGGAAGACCCCCCACAGCCTCCTCTAATACAAGAGCACATGTCCTCAGGAAGTAAATATTGCGTTACAAGAGCCAATAAGATGAGAATCCCTGAGTGAAAATTCTTTCAGCTTTTATGAACTTAAAACATTTTAGTATGGAAAATTCCAAACATACACCGAAGGAGACAGAGTCTTATGATGACGCCCCATCTACCCATCACCAAATCCTGGCCACAGGTGTCCCTTCATATTGCCATCTGCTTCCCTACTGCCCACATAATTTTGAAGTGCCTTATTTTGCCATGTATAATGTACACACTTTTGCCCAAATTTTTTATGGAAAAATAAGGATGCACATTATAGATACATGGGTATAACGATCACATACAATGGGTATAATACACCCTTGTATAAGATGCACCAATGTTTTTGTGCACATTATACACACAAAATACATATCATTATCAGTATTTCAGTATGCATCTCTTAAAAAAAGGACTCAATAAACTTAACCACATTGTCCTTATTGCAGCTAAAAATTAATAATACCACCTCAATATTACCAAGATTTAGTTGGTGTTCACATTTCCAGAACACTTTAAAAACTTGCCTTTTCTCCGGAAGGCAAAAAAGCCCAACTCTGAAATAAAAATTTCTCAGCATCTGGTCATGTCCTTACAATCTAGTTCCTAAAAGGACAGATTTCTGAATTTGGGCAGACATGCTCAGTTATGAAGCGTCTGCGGCCAATAAGCACTTTGTAAGCTCTCTCGGTTCGTTACAGCCCTCGGCTGGGTCAGAGCTGTGCACGCAGTGGGCGCCAGCTCAGTGTGTGCGGAGTTTCATGGCAGGAGGAACACATGAAGCGGGGGCGGCGGGGGGGGGCGGGGACTGCAGCCCCGCTGAGCTAATGCGGGAGGACTGAGCGGCAGCCCCCTGCGTCCTCCCACCCACGCGGACGTCCCGGCTGTGAGTGGCTGTCCTTGGCTTTCTGTGCGGCACTCTACCCGCCAGCTGCCTGGGCCTCCTCTGGGACACTCTTCTCTCTCTTGCTCAGGATACTTGACTGTGTTCCAGTGACTCCGTGGAACCCCACTTTGTGGGGCCTCCAACCTTCTTGGTCTTGCCAATTCGCTGTTTAACATACAGCAACAGTTGACGAGGGGTGCTTTTAGGGAGGCGGGCAGCTCACACGTGCCAAGTGCTTTGCTCATCTGTCCTTACGGCAGCCCCAGGAGGTCCGTATTGCTGTCACTGCCATTTCACAGTGGAGAAGACTAAGGGAAGGCAGGTAGGCCCCTTGCTTGCCTAGGAAGCAGCAGCGCCAGGGTCCGAATGTGGTCAGCCTGAACACTGGGTGCTCTCCACTGCAGCACATTGGTTCCGAAATGTTGAGACTCGTTTAGCAAACTGCTAGGCAACTTGGCTAAGGACCAGGCACTTACCCTTTTGAGGACAAATCTTGACAAGTTGGGATGTGCAGTCACCATGCACTTTTTTCTCTGCAATGTTCACATCTTCCAGAACAGATATATTATGACTTATTATTATACACACCCTTATTAGGAGATTAGCTCAGCTGAATGGAATAAATTTTAGGTCATTCAGCCTCTAATTTCCTGGTTTGTCTTTTTTTCACGGTTAAATAATAGTTTGAGTCATAGATTATACGACTGAGACAGGTTTGAAGGTTAGGAGGGATGGGAAGAAACTGGGTTGAGCATCTAGGTCCACAACCTAGACATTATCCCCTGTGTATATTTTGTTACATCTGAGTTTTGATAGAAGCAAAGCGTGACTTACGGAATGTACAGAATCAGGGTTAAGTACTTAAGAATTCCTAGAGGGAGGAAGGCTGGCATGGGTACTATTTTCTTTGTCCCAGTCGATCAGAGTTCAGCCTGAGTGGCTTCCCCTTGGCTGATCTTTGGAGGAGTGGTTTTAGGTGGCTTGGTGAGGCTCCGACCCCGTCCTTTAGGAACCCAGCTCGCCCACTGCGGATGGCCTGAGCACGCCAAAGCTGGGAGCTAAACCAAACTCACTTGCAGTTTTACTGCCTTTGCTTCTTGATTTTGCCTTGGTTTGCTTCAGCTTTCTCCCAACCCCTGCTGCCCTGGAGAAAGAGAAGAGTGAGCGGAGGTGGGTTTGATTAAGTACAGGGAATGGAAAAGCCCAAGCAACCACTGGGAAGAGAGGCATTGGCCAACTCACAGAAGAAAGAGGCAATAGCAGGCTGAAAAAGGCCAAGCAGGCAAAGGGAATGGAACCAGACTCTAAGTGCTTATGGAGCTTGTGGGCACAAAGTAAATGTACAGTAACTGTTTGCCAGTTGCGGCAATGGGAAAGCTGTGGCTATCTTAAGTCTCCTTGGCACTGCCTGGAAATTAATTTAAATCACCTAAGTTGTTTCCAAAAGCGGTTCTTGCTGGGACGCCTCTAGCTTTCCATAGAGTTGGGTGTGCCAGTCTTCCATGACTTCCTGCTGTTCCAGGACGGTGTTTCCATGGGTTGGTTTAGCCCTGGTCCACAGAGAGGGGACTGGACAAACCCCTCCCTGAAGATGGAGAGCCGGTAACAGGGCTCCGTCGCACCTACTGCTCCTCCTGCTCGCCATGGGGCTTCTCCTGCCCAGACCCTCCAGTGAGCCCTCTGGAGGGCACCATGGTGGAAGCCACCAGACTGGGGTGAACTCATAGGGTTTTCGGCCTTGGCCCAGGAAGATCAGTCCTCAGTCTGCAAAACAGCAATGGTTGGGTTAAGTTGGGAGAATTGTAGGAGAAGCAAGGGCAAGGTGGAAAGTTTGCTTTCTAGGACCACCTTTGCTCGAAGTTCAGAAGAGCCTGAAATCCACAAGCAGCAGTAAGACTCAGAACACTAATGAGTGTGGCTGGTTGAGGGTCCAAGCAGTTGTTTTAAATTCATTGCTGCCTTTTTCTCTCTCCTGGGTCTCCAGTTTTTATTTTTCTGGTGTCGTTTGCTTTCACATTCTTCTCTCTTTGCAGAATATTTATAACTGCCCCCTTCTCCTTTTTCATGCTCAGTTCCCCTCCCCACCCTACACTACCTACTTAGCATAAATTTTCTTTTCTTTTGGCCTTCCTTGTTTTACATCTGGATTCCCGGATGGTTTATTTTGTCTGTTTCCTGAATTTCCCTCCTCTCCCGTTTCTTATAGCCGCCCCCCCCACCCCTTTTCCTTCAGCTTCAATTCTTTCCCCTGAAGACTTCCTTAGGCCACACAGGCTTTTATTGTTGTTCATCTGTTTAAGCGGCGCTGGCAAGAAGGCGGCCACAGCCGGCGGGCAGGGCCGCAGCGGCAGAAGAGGACTTGGGTATCTGAAGAGTCTCCCCCAGCCCCGGTGTCCTTTGAAGAGGGGCTTCCTTCTGGAGAGGGGCTCCCCCCCGTGAGGGTGGTCATCGCCTGCCAGGCCAGGGCTGAGGGCTGGGGGCAGATGGTGTGTCCTCCACGTTGTGTGGGCCTGGGCCCCCTGGCTCAGGGAGGCGATGGAACCCGCCCTTCTCTGAGTGTACGGGTGGGGGATTCACCAGGTTCCACCCAGAAAAGTTGGGGCTCGGGGGAGGTGCACTCCCTGGGCAGCATCACTTGCAAAGCTCTGTGCTGTGGGTGGGATGCCATGCTGCGCAGGGTCTGCCTCTTGGGGGAGTCTGGGACCCTTTGATCCGTGCTCTCTGGCTGAGGTTGGCCTGGGCATCTGGAGCTGTCTGCTGGGGAGACACAGGCAGTTTTCCAGCAGAAGGTCCTTCTGTCCAACGCCCCCCACGCCCGGCCAGTGGGCGTTTTCAGGGCACAGGGGGAAAGCAAGAAGAGGCTGATAGTGGCGAGGCATCCTAAAGGCCCTTGGCCACTGGGGAGCAATACAAACCCCACCTGTGGGAGGTTCCTGAGGGGCAGCCCTGGTACTGCTAAAAGCAGGTGGCTCTTCTTGATGGGCGTGGTGGCAGAGAAATCCTAGAAGCTGCCGCCGCACCCCTCCTGGTCTGGACTGGTGGGGAGGGGGTGAAGAGCGTCCTGGCTCTGCTCCCCAGCTGTCTGAGGCAAACTGACTGGAGTCCATCTGGCTGTCGCCTCGGGCCCAGGCTTGCTTCCCACCCTGGGGTGTCAATGCCACTGGGCGCTGGCTGAGTCCTTAGCAGGCCCAGTCAAGGGGCGGATGCGCCAATGCTCTGCTTGCAGCACACCCCGGAGCTGCGTTGCATCCTGGGGCCCAAGAGCGCCAGCTGGACGCCTCTCAGGCTGTGCTGTCTTCCTAGGCGCTGTGATGACAGTGACCACATGCTTCTCCGCAAGTGCCATCGAGGGCCCCCTTGCCTTCTCCACACCGAGCGCTTTTGCCAGGCGCCACCCATTCCTTCTCCACAGCTTCATCAACACACAACGTTCTCTGTCACTTCAGAAAAATACTGTTGATTGTCCAGAAGCTTGAGAAAAATCTTTGCTTGTATTTTACATTCTGCTTATAATTTACTTATGTTTTCTAAACTTTCAATCCTAGAGTCCAACTTTTGGAATCCAGCATTCTTTAAGACCTTAGAACCATAAGACCCAGGAGCCCCCAGGCTCCCGCTCCCCGGGCCCAGTGGATTTGGTTTATCTCTGGTTCAAGGGTTATCCTGGACAGGAAGACCGGTTAGGGGACTGGTGGTGCATTTTTTTCTAAGTTCTTCCCTCAACTCTGCAAGGCTAGCTGGGGGTAAGGACCTGGTCTCTTTGATGTAGGAATCCAGGTGGAGATTAGGATCCCAGCCACCTCTCGCCCTTCCCACCTGAGGCTAAAGCACAGGCTCCTTCAACCTGCGGTCTCAGTGCCGCCTCTCCCTGCCACCTCCCTCCGCCTCGCCTCTTCCCACGCACCACGTTGTATAAATATTTACACCCCCGGGCTGGCAGGAATCTTTCTCCAGCTGCTTCCCTGGTCTCTGGGAGAGCTTGTTCTCTCACTGAACAGCTGCAACAGATCTGGTTGCCTTTGGTCAGACAAGGGCAGGCCCTGGTTTGGGGGCCTGCAGTCCCTCCCCGCCCCAGGGGTAGAGGGTGCAGTTGGCGGGAGAAACTCAGATCTAAAGAAGTCACAGGGCGGTGGCAAAGATCCATCCTCTCCCCTCCCCCATGTGCCCACGTGGCGACCCTCCGAGAGCTGCCTGATCCCTGCTCTGGCTGAGGAGGTAGGTCCTGCTTCTCAAAGGAACAGCTCCTCAGGGTGGGCCTGCTCCAGCCTGGGCTCGAGGATCATTCCAAAGCACACTGGCTGGTATCAGGACAAACAGGAACTTGGTTTACTTGTGAGCACTTTCCAGTTTATAAGTAGGGGCTCTACCCTTGATTATGCTGAAGCAGATCCCCTAGTTTAGAGCAAGAACCCCCTGGAGAGGCTTCACAGTGGGCCCCTCCCCACCTCCTGCCACAGGCTACGCCCCCTCCCGCCAGTCCCTGTGCAGTGTACCTGGGGGCGGGGACCTGGAGAGGACAGGTGCTGCTTCCCCTTCTTTCTTGGGGACCTAGAAGCGGGAGCCTGCCAAGAAACCAAGCCATTTGTTAGGTTCCCACGGGCTGGGCACAGTGCAAGGTACTTTGCCATATTCTCATATAATTATTCAAGCCTTAAGCCCAGCAGATTGTTGAGCTTCCTTGTGCGTCTCCTCTTCCTGCCCTCACACAATGACCACAGAGCAGCAAGACACGGAGTCCTGCCTCTCTTTGGTCCTTTCAAGTTCAGCACCCCCTACAGCCAGCCAGGGCACACGGGGCTCATCTACCTGCAGTGGGCGCAGGTCACCTGCTGCCACCTCCCCTCCTATGCCTCAGTTTCCCGCCATCTGTGGGAAGTAATCAACCTGCGCTCCACAAAGCTTTCCAAATTCAGCACAAGGACAGGTTTTTAAAAAACAACATGGTGGTTTAATTTAACAACTTTTTCTACATGCGGGGTTGGGGTGGGTGAGACAGAAAAGACTGTTCCAGTGCCAGGCATGGAGGAGGTGTGTTCGGTGCTTCGGGAGGCTGAGGAAAAGGAATACAGGGATACGATGGCCTGGGTTTCATACCCAACAACCCCCAAATTTAAGTCATGGAGGCGCTGCAGGTGGAGGTGTGGGATTGGGAAGGGGGTTCCGGTGGGGGCCGGGGACAAAGGCCCCAGTCTCCCTGGACCCACGCTTGTGCCAGAAAGAAAACAGATTCAATCTAAATCTCAACTTCTCTCTCTCTTTTCATGCCCAGACCCCTTCTGGGAATGGGAGAAAAATCTAGTGTCAAAGGTGCCTGCAGGAGTCTGCGGAGAAAGCCCTGCCCCAGAGCTGGAGAGGGTGGAGAGACAGCCATCGAAGGCGAGGCAGGGAGTGGTGGGCTGGATGTGGCCTTCGGAGGGGGAAAAGGTGGGAAACCACAGCTCAAGCCACGCAGCTGCGAGATATTCCTGTTGCCTGCCTCCCTACCCCCAAAAGGTAAAACAAAACCCAAATAAAAGCCTGACCTGGCAGATATTAATACCCCAGAGCCAGGGCTGGTGTGCAAGCAGCCGCCCCCTTCTTCCCCCTTCTGTTTCTATAAGCGGCTGAAATAAATTTAGCGAAACAACCCCACCCGTCTGAGGGCCTAAGATTTCAGAGCAGTGGGACTCTTTACCCTGAAAGCCCCTGTTTTTCAGAGCTGAGAGCTTTTTGTTTAAATTCCCTTTGGCAATGGAACACTCTCAATCTAAAATAATTATTTCCCTGCAGTCATCTATTCCTCATGGACAAATTCTTTGACATAGTATGGCGTGCTAGAAAGCTGATCTACAGATATTCTGCAGCTTAACTGTCAACTCCATGAGGCCAATGCCTAGTTGGATCCATTGGAGTATTTATTGTGAGGTTATTCTTTTTTTGTGCGTGTGATTTCTTTGCTGCATGTTCAGCTAAGTTTCTCTGTTGTCACAATAACTAGTGGTTATGGCTAAGTTACCAAAGTAGAGAATTACTTATTGATGGCCTACTGTGTGCTAGGCACTATGCCAGACACTGAGAGTTGAGTTGAGAGGAGAGACAGCTTGCTCTTGGAGCATACATCCTGGTTGGAAGGGAAATGTCAAAAAAGTTAAGTGATCACCAAAAAACCCAGCAACGAACATCCTACTCAACAGTGAAAGACTGAACGCTTTCTCCTAAGGATGCGATGAAGGTGAGGGCGTTCGCTATCACGATGCCCATTCAACATCATATTGGAAGTCTTAAACAGGGCAATAAGGCAAGAAAAAGAAATATAATGCATAATACTGAAAAAAAGAAATTAAACTATTTTTATTCGCAGATGATAGTCTATGTTAAAAAATAAAGCAAACGTAGGAACAAAACTCAAGGAATCTACCCAAAAACCTTGTAACTAAAGTGACTCAGATTATAGAGTACAAGGGCAATACACAAAAATCAACTGTATTTCTATGAACTACTAATGAGAAATTACAAATTGAAATTTAAAAAACTGCAATAGTTATGCTCCAAAAGAGAAATATTAGGTACAAATCTAATAAAACATATATAGTATTGGTAGGCTAAAAACTATAAAATGCTGATTAAAGAAATAAAAGACCTAAATAAATGGACATACCATGTTCATGGATTAGAAGACTCAACATTGTAAAGATGCCATTTCTTCCTGAATTGATCTATAGACTTAATGCAATTGCAATAAAAATACAAGTATGATATTTTTTGTAGATACAGACAAGCTGTTTCTGAAATTTATATGAAAAAGCAATAGAACTAGAATAGTTAAGACAATTTTGAAAATTAAGAATAAAGCCAGAGGAATTACAACAGCTAATTTTAAGACTTACTATAAAGCTACAACAATCAAGACAATGTGGTATTGGCAAAGGAATGGACACACAGATCAATGGAACAAAATAAAGAGACCCATTCCAATACGCCAACTGATTTTTGGATACGTGTAAGAACAAGTCAATGGAAAAATGATAGTCATTTCAATAAAGAGTGCTGGGATTGGACCTCCAGAGGCAAAAAAATGAACCTCAACCTAAATCTTACATTTTATATAAAAACTAACTTCAAATGGATCATAGATTTAAGTGTGAAACATAAACTATAAAACTTTTAGAAGAAAACAGAAAATCTTGACTTAGGGTTAGGCAAAGAGTCCCTAGATGTGGCACGGAAGGCATGATAGAGAAAATAAAACTGATAAATTAAACTTCTTCAAAATTAAAAACTTTTGCTCTGCAAACATACTTTGTTGGGAGAATAAAAAGAAAAGGGACAAACTAGAAAAAATATTCGCAAATCACATTTTGACAAAGCAACTCTATCTGGAATATATAAAGAACTCTTAAAACTCAACAGTAAGACTACAACCAATTAAAAAATGGGCAAAAGACTTGAACAGACATTTCACCAGAGGACATACAGGGGGCAAATGAGCACTTGAAAAGATGTCCAACATCATTACCCATTAGAAAAATGCAAATTAAAACGATGAAATACCACTACATGCCTATTAGAATGACTAAAATAAAAAAAATACAGTTATCAGTGCAAGTAAGGAAGCAGAGCAACTGGAAATTCTCAGATATTGCTGTTGGAGATACAAAATGTTATATCCACTCTTGAATATGACTTGGCAGTTGTCTACAAATTTCAATATACTCTTACCATATGACCCAGCAATTCCACTCCTAGTTATTTACCCAACAGAAATAAAAATTTATGTTTCCACAAAAATCTGTACTCAAGTGTTTATTGCAGCTCTAACTCAACAGTGGCCCCACACTGAAAATAATCCAATGTCCTCCAACAGATGAATGGATAAAAAACTGGTGATATACATATACAGTGAAACATTATTTTTCAGTTAAAAGGAATGTGCTATTGTCACATGCAACAACATGGATAAATCTCAAAGGCATTATGCTGTGCGAAATCATACAGGCTGCATGATTCCATTATATAGCATTCTGGAAAAGACAAAAGTATAGCACAGAAAACAGATCAGTGGTTGATAGAGTAAGAGATGGGGGACGATATGACTACAAGGCGCTGACGGAACTATCCTGGTTTCTGACCACGGTGGTGGTGGTGAGTCTATTCACATGTTAAAATTCATAGAACTAAATTGGCCAGATAAAGTTCAATTTTACTGTATGTTATATTAAAAAGTCAAAGTTTATACGAGTGAATGTACACTCACAAACTGAACTACTTTGAACAAAATAAACATTCCATGAGTGCATAAGAGAGAAGGCAGACCTCTTGCCTTGATGGTAGAAGGGGAGCACCAAGAATGGTTGAGGAAATGATGCTTGAGTTGGGTTCAAAAGGATGATTTAGAATTTATTTTGGTCAAAGGAAGCTCAATTCAAATAGAAGAAATAGCATGTGTCAAAGCCCTGGGGCAGGAGGAAGGATGGTTCATTTTCATTGAAACTGACTAGAGCCCAGGGAGTGCCCCGAGGGGTGGGAGAGGTGGTGGTGGGGAAGAGGAGGAGGCTGGCGCAATAAGGGTCCGATTTTGCTGGGCTAAGAATTTGGTTTTTTTCCCTAACAGGGATGGGTAGCCAAGGATTTTAGGCAATTGTAACACAAGATCAGATCTAGGTTTTGAAAAAGATCACCTGGACTGCCATATGGAGAAAGGTTTGAGGGAGCATGGGGATGGAGCCTAACTATGTATGCAGAAAGCTTGGGGTTGGGAAAAGAAACTCCTAACATAGAGTTTCTCAATCTTGGTACTACTGACATTTTGGACCAGAAAAATCTTTTTGTTATGGGGACTGTCCTGTACATTGCAGGATGTTTAGGAGCATCCCTGGCCTCTACCTTCTCAATGCCAGGTGTATTGACCTTTCCCCCTCCAGCTCTGACAACTAAAAACAGGGAGCAGCATACATTGTCCAATGTTCACGGGGAGGCAAGGTGACCCCTGGTTGAGAATCACTGCGCTAAAATAAATGAATCTAGTGTTTCTGGCTTCGTAATAGAATCATCTGAAGAGCTTAGAAAATGCAAATGCTGGACTTCACCCCTAGACCAACTGAAGCAGAATCTTCCAAGGAGTGAGGCAGGGCACAGGTATATGGTTAAAAGCTCCCCAGGTAATTCTACTCAGAGTGATGTTTGAACACCACCTGTCTAGTTCAACACTCTCCATCTCCACAGATGAGAACACTGAAACCCAGGGCAGAGGATGGCCTGCCCCACCAGAGGCAGAGTAGCTCTAGAATCCAAAATTCCTGACTTCTAGGCCAGTGCTCATTCATTAGATTTTGTTGCAAGGGCCCTCTCCTCTTTCCAGGCCTCAGGGTGTGCCTTATCCCAGGGGTGGGGGTGGGACCTGAAAGTGACACAGATCAAAGTTGTTGGTTGACCATTTCATGGACAACTATACTAAAGAATTCTTTTGCAAAATGAATACTCCCCAGAATTTTTGTGGCATAATGAGGCCCTAAGAATGGTTTAGTTTATGTACAATGGCTAAGCATATTAAAGATTTCAGTTAGGCCTGAAACTAGGTACTTTACTGGCCAGTTACAGGCCTATTATTATCACTATTTTAGAGATGAGGAAACTGAGGCTTTGGTCAGGGTCTTGCAAAGTCACAAAGCCAAGCTTTGGATTCAGAACGCCCAGCTTCAAAATCCTGGGCCACGGATTCTTAAACCTTAGTGTTTAAGTCTGAAAAGTAGCAGAAAAGTTACTAAAATGCAGATTCCTGGCCCCGCCCCAAACGTCTGATTCACTGGGTATGGGTCCAAACTGAGGAATATGCATTCTACAAGCACTAAAATTAAATCTAAACCAGGCACCTCTCTGGCAGCATTTCGCCCTCCCTCCTTCTCCCTAACCCAGGGATTTTGCTGCTGTCCCAGGGTCTCAGGCAGCAGAGGCTGGGGGGAAGGGCGGGGCCCAATCCGAGGAATTTGGGGGATTTTGCGAATGACCTGAAGCCGGAGAAGAACTGTAACATCGCAGGGCCCTACGATGGCAGGTCCTGGGCTGCAACCAGGGCCAGCATGGGCCTCTGGGGCGGGAGTGCCTGGAGAGCGCTGGGTGAAAAGGCCTTGGGGCCTAGGGTTCAGTGGCCCAAGGGGGTCAGTGGCGCAGCGCCCCACACTCTCACCTGCCTCGAGGTGCGCCCAGGATCCAGACTGGTCAATGAATATATCCGCGGCGTTTCCCTAACTCCGAGGACTTTCACTTTCCCCTTTCCACAAAACCTAATACCCCCAAGCCAAAAATACCGGGCTAGGCCCTCCCAGCGAGAAGACCGGCTCCAAGCGAGCAGGGAGGACCCGGAAGTGGAGCCTGGGCCGCAGGACCTGGCAGGCTGCCTCCCAGTCGGAAGCGGCAGTGCAGGTGAAGGGGCGGCCTCTGCGCCTGGCGCGGGTGAGGACGCAGAGGGCGGGCTGCCCAGCGAAAGAGGTGGGGAGGGCCACGCACGGCTCCCGTCGGGCTTCCTGCCCCGGTCGCGGCTCGCTGCCGTTCCCGCCACCATCGGGCACCTGCCGAGCACGTCTCAGCGAGGACTGGCCGGCTCAGCTCCGAGACCCCCACCCCTCCTCGGCCCTTACGCGGGCCGGGTCAGCGAAGGGTTAAGGAGGCTCGCTCCCTCCCCTCGGCTCCCTCACCCTTGGAAAGTCCCCGAAATGACGTTTGAACCCGACAATTAAAAAAAGGGTTTAATTATAGAGGCAGGCTCTGGGAGCTGGAACAAACCCGGTCGGTCGGCGGGGCCGGTAAACAACTCCGGGGCGAGCGGGCCAGAATGGCCGCCGCCCCGCGGAGCCCGCGCCCCCGGCAGCGGGGGAGGGGAGCGCCCTCTGGGAGTTGGAAAAGCGGAGGAAATTCGAGGAATCGCGTTCCCTTTGGAGGGAGGGTGTGTGTGTTGTGGGGGAGACTTTTTAACTAGCCCGGGGCGCTGAGGCCGCGTGCTGGTGCTCCAGCCGGTCTCGCAGCCGCACGGGAAAGCACCGCCCCCCGGAGAAGGGGCGCAGTGGGTGCAGGCGGGGCCCAAGAGCCCGCCCGCCTCGGGTCCCTTTACCCCTCGCTTCTCCACCTCTCCCCTCCTCCCCAGAACAGTTTCTTGAACATTCTAGGGTTAAAGCAATGGGCCCTTTTTGGGGGGCGGGGGAATAAAAAACCGAAATAGCTTCACATCAGGACGCAGACTAACCTTGTGGTTTTAACGCGCACCCTACTCTGTCCTGAAATCTGGAACTCATTACCTCATCACCAAGAAACTGCACGAAACCGCCTCCCACCCCCTTCTTGGAGCTGGGGAAAGGAGCGAGCAAACATCCCTTTAAGAAACAAACCTACATTTGATTGATTTAAATTAAGGTGGATGGAAGTTATTTCCCTTTCTGGCGCTTGCCAGATTTCAAGAAAAGCTGCAAAATGGGAGCAAAGGGAGGGAAGCAACAGGCGGCTGGACGGCAGCAGAAGAAAAAGCAAGGGGCAGCAGCCGGGTTAAAAATGGGGGCCAGCAATTTAAGTCAAAGAAGACAAATGAAAGCCGACCGCGTTGGGGATCACGTAGGTTCGTCGTTGCAGGAAAAGTTGAGTGTTTCGCAAAGATGAAAAACAACCGGTTTTTAAAAGCAGTTGTGATTGAAAGTTTTGCCTGGGTTTGCCCGGAGGCTTAAGAATAAAATAAGAAATGCAGTAAAAAGTGCGCGCGTGTGCCCGTGAGAGAGAGAGAGAGAGAGAGAGAGAGAGAGAGGCAGAGAGGCGGTAGTAGTGGTGAGAGTGCGACTCGAGCGCTCTGCTCGGCCCGCCCTGTCCTTTCCAAAGAAACGTGCTCATAATGGGGTGACCTAATTACATCGCAATGGAACCCGCTCTTAGCCACTCAGAGTACGGAGTTTCATAACAGACCCGGCGGCCTCCAGTGCTGGGAAGAAACGTGCGAGGGCTGTGGAGGCGGCTGGGCACGCGGGGGAATAGGAAAGAAACGCAGCCCTGCGGTTTCCGCCTGGGCCCTCATTGCAGCACACCCGAGGAGGCACGGGGGCGGGTGGGGAACACGTTAACAACTTTTTATTTGGGTGAGTGGAGGGGCATCCGAATCTAACAGTAAATAAATACAATTTTACAGTTTTCAAAGAAGTAACAATCTATCCGAGGCCTTTCGGTTTCGAGGATCCCATGCCCCCTTCCCCCCCATCCCGCCCAAACAGCGCGGCGTGACAAGCCATATGTTCCGTTCCCGAGGGGGCGGGGGAGGAACAACAATAAGTTAAGTGTCGCCTCCCCCACCTCTTTACCTACATTCTTGCCAAAGTAACTTTTTTCATTGTTCAAGCGTCTAGGCGTGTGTGCGTGTTTGTTTCGGTGCGGCCCCAGTTCAGAGCGCGCGTGGAAAGTTATGTGTTGCTGGGTGGGTTTGGGGGTGGGGGAAGGAGAGGGCATTCGTGAGGATTTAGTTTTTCTTTATAAAAAAAGTTTAAAGATTGGATGTGTGAACTAAGTACAACTCCCAGTCTTGCTAAAATAAACACTGTGCCAGGGCGGGGGTCGTTTTCGCGACCCCCGCCCCCGCTGAAAAAAAAACCCACCACGTGAAACCCTAGAGTTGAAGGCTTTGTGCGTCCCGTATTTCCAAATTTCCAATCCCTTAGTCCTGCCAGGTTTGAGGAGGGGAGGCGAGTGCGGAAGACGACTCGAGAAAAGAGTAAGTTGTGCGGAGCACTTGGAGAAGTTTGAAGAATGATTTGCTCAAGATGAAAACCGCAGCGGGGCTCTTTTTTCGGCTCCCGCTTGCAAAAAGAGAAAGTTGAGCCCGCCTTCCTGCCCGACAAAAAACAACAACACAACAACAAGAACCCCGAAGAGGGTGGAATGAGTGATGTCACAGAACCCAGCTCTCAGGCTGACAAAGGAGGGGAGCGCGGCTGGAGAGAAGGGCGCCGGCTAGCGAAGCAAGCGGACTCGAAACTTCTCTTTAAGAAAAAAAGTGCGCGGCTCGGAGGTTTTTTTTTTTTTTTCCCTCGCCTCTTTCCTCGTCTCCCCTCCCCCTTCTTCCTTTTGAACGTTTTTTTTTTTTCCCCCGAGTTTGACCGCATGGCTGATTCAACTTCAGTGTCAATCAACTTTTTTTCCTCCTCTTCCTTATTTAAATAACTTTAAACTCCGCCCCCCCGATCTACTATAAATTGGTCTTCGCGCGCCGCAGCCGGAGAGAGTCAGAAAGGCGAGGGGCCCCGGGAGTAGGCGTGTGGGACTCCAGACCGGAGAGCCGGAGGCTGCGCCTTCCCCGCACTGGGACTTCGCGACACACCAGATCCTCGTCCCTGCCCCGTGCGAGCGCCCACGATGACCACCACTCTCGTGTCTGCCACCATCTTCGACTTGAGCGAAGTTTTATGCAAGGTAAAGTGGGGAGGAACGTTTGCTTTTCAAAGATTCCCCCTTTCTCTTTGGCCTTAAAAAGAGAATCCCCAGAAATTTATGCTTGGGAAAGCAGGGGGAAAGGGTAAGAGTTAAGGTAGCCTTTTAATTTCCGCCCCATTCACTCCTCCTCCCCAGTTTGAAGGAATTTGGCTCTCTCCTCCCCACCCTTTGAGTTTAAACAGCCCCTGGAGGGGATTGCATGGGAATGTAATCCAGAGACCAGAGTTTTTTGGGGTGAAGTTTGTGTGGCGGGACTCTCCGAGGGACGCCAGGCACACTGGCTTGGATTGGGGCGATTTTTGGTGATCACGTGGTGCCTGAGCCCAGTTTCGCCGCTGAGCTCGGTTTCCCGGTGTGTGCTCAGGGTATCGCCACCATCGGAGGGGTTCGAGTCTCGTTAGACACATCGCCGGCCTGTGGGGTTGGGAAGAGGCTCCCTCGGTGAAGTTGAGTCTCCGGACGTTTTGCTGGGAGATTTCTCCTCTGTTTTGAAGGGGCTGAAATCTGCGAGAAAAAGGCCAAGAGTTGTCATTCAAAAGGATGTTGCAAAATTGCAGTGGGGCTTCAGTTGTCCCCCGCACGGCTAGGCGGCTTCTTGGAATAGACGGTCGAGGCGTACTGCAGACTTTGGGGGCGAGAGTGGGACTTGGGTGGACCCTCTTGTTTTCTGGGGGATTGCAGCTCGCATATATGGAGGGTGAGGGGGCCACCATAACAAATGCCGGTCTGAGTTCAAGGGTCTTCGCAAGGAAGGATTTAATGGGGACGTCCTTAAGTCGTGTAGCTTGCCAGCCACTGTGAGAAAAACCAAGTTTTAGACTCCTGGAATGTTTCAGGAGGGCGGTTTAAGTGTACATAGGGATAAAAGCCCATGGGTGTTAATTTTTTTTTCTCGCTACCTCTCCCCAGTTTTCTTCCTAAAGAAATAGGGAAGCTGCTAGGCTACTTTTAATTGCTAAAGTATTTTTGCCTTCTTTTAAACACGTTGGGTCATGTTGCTCTCTTTTCCCAGCTTGCTTCTCCAGTCTGCGCAGCTGCCAGGGCCCCAGGGCTGCAGGGTTGGGGTGCAGGGACGCCGAGGAGCTGAAGAGCAACAGCAAAAATTTGGAATCTCAGCTTCTTTCCTCTCCCTGCGCGTTCCCAAACTCCAGTTGCCCTTGCGGCTGCCTGGATTCTCCCGCACGTCTTCGTCCTCTTCCCAGCTCTCTCGCTCTTTGATCTATTTCTCTTTCTCTCGCCCCCTCCCCCCACAGGACTTTTTAAATGAACCTCATTGTTGGGAACCGGCTCTCAACTTGGTTCCTGTAATCCGCTCTCCGTGGGGTGGTTGCTGTTACAGATTCCCGATCCCCAGCAGCTGATCCTAAGGGACCAACTTTAGAATTTGTACAATGACACCCACATGGGCTAGGAGCCAACTCCCAGGTCATTTGCCCTCCCCCACCCTAGCACCCTTTCCAAATCTTGGGTACAGTTTGAGCAGGTGACCAGGGTCCCGTTGGAACAGAAAGCTGCCCCTGGTGGCTCTGCCCCCACCTCCCAAATGCATTATTGACTGGCAGGCGGGTGGGGGGATTTGGTGCTTTCCTTTTCCTTCCCACCTGCAGCTTTGCGTTAAAGATTAAACACTGGTGCTCTTATTCCACCCTGGCTCTTGGAGCCAGAAGACTAATTGCAAAGGCATCTTCCCAGTGGAGGGGAGTGGGGTGGGCTAGGAATGTTGGGGAGAGAATTGTGGAAGGCGCCCCTTTCCGGAGGTTGGGGAAATGCATTTTATTTTCAGGAATCCCATCTCTCCTTGCCTAACCCCAGACAGGGAACAGAGGGTTTCTTCTCCTGTCCCCCTCCCCTACCACCCCTCCCCCAGCAAGATAAAAGCAAAGGCACTCTGGAAACCTGTTGCTAAAGGAAGGGAACACTTCTGGAGGAGGAAGTAAA